AGTCATATAGGTCGGTTGTGCTTTTTTCTTGTCAACCTGTCTTCTGTTAAGGAGCATCAGCCACGACAGAAGATGGGGAGTGGCCGGGCGCGGTGGCTCACGCCTGTAATCCTGGCACTCTGGGAGGCCGAGGCTGGAGGATCGCTCAAGATCAGGAGTTCGAAACCAGCCTGAGCAAGAGCGAGACCCCTGTCTCTACTAAAAATAGAAAGAAATTAATTGGCCAACTAAAAACATATAGAAAAAATTAGCCGGGCATGGTGGCGCATGCCTGTATTCCCAGGTACTTGGGAGTTTGAGGCAGGAGGATCGCTTGAGCCCAGAAGTTTGAGGTTGCTGTGAGCTAGGCTGACGCCACGGCACTCTAGCCCAGGCAACAGAGTGAGACTTGAGACTCTGTCTCAAAAGAAAAAAAAAAAAAGAAGATGGGGAGGAAAGGGATCACCCTTTTATGCCGTATAGAGCCTACCTGCTTATCCTTCAAGGGGAAGCATCGTGGCCACTTCTAGGAAGCCCTGGAAGAAGTAGACACGCCCCCCACCTTGGGCACCCACCCTGTGGGCTGTGTCTCAGCACCTGTCCCACTTCATTGCATACTGATCGCATTTTACCCCTTTGGTAAAGGAGCCGCAGGGGCTGGTTTCTGCCTCCTTCCAGGTGGGCTTACGTATAACCGGCTCAGCAGGGCTGGTGGGCTTTAGTGCCCTTTCCTTTAGGGGAGGTTAGGTTGCAGGCACTGGGGTGTGCCTCCTCCAACGGCCGGTGAACTTGAGATCTTTAATGAAAATTTTAAAAGTCTCTTTTGGAGCCAACTCTTACCTTGCTTACCGCAGAGTGGCTGTTTTTGAGAACACACTTTCAAAGAACTGGGTCTGACTCAGCTGTCTGATTATAAATGGGGCTGATCACAGACCCTAGGATATTGGGTCTGATGGAGTCTTAGAGGCCTTTGAATTTGAGACCCTGGAGGCATGGGACATGGCTGAGCTGGGACCAGCACCCTGGTCTGACTCTTGGCCCAGGGCTCTGCTCATCTGTAGGTTTGCCCGGATCTGTAGTCCCCTGGCCTCTTTCCTGGATACCTCCACTCCTAAGCGGGGCCAGGCGGAAGGTGAGGACCGGGATTGGCTGTGCGTGGCTGAAGAGAGCAGCCTGGCCAGGCTACTGACAAGGGGCAAGTTCACTAGGAGGGAGGCTGTTCAGGTCTCACTTTCAAGGGCTGTAGGAAGAGGTGGGATGGGGGAGGGAACTTCCGAGTGGCCTGGACACTGTGCTGAGCTCCTTGTTCCCTCCCACGTTCCTCTTCCCCACCCTGGACCAAGGGATTTCTTGGTACTGCTGCCCCACCTTATAGGGAAGCATTTATCGTGGCCCAAGGAGAGGAGAACTTAGTTACTAATTTCTGCCCGGAACAGAGTCCACCTCTGGGAGAGAGTAGGGAAGAGGGCATTCTGCCCCCAGATGTCCTGGTTACTTGGTTCAGTCTCAGGTGACTGATGACCCTTGGCACTCTCTCGGCATTTGAGCAGTGTAGGCGGGTAAAGGATGGGGTCTACCTGCACCCGGGGAGCCCTTTACACCCGATTCCCCTTGACTCTTGTTGGCGGAAGGCTGTGAAAGGCCCTTCCTGAATGCCACGGAGCCTGGTCAGTGGGCACCTGTCCAGGAAGAAGCACCTGCCCGGGGCCGGGGCTGGCGTGAGATCAGTTGCCTGGCTGCACAGCTGTAGGGAGCCTTCGACATTATCTACACTCGCGCTCATTCTACCAGCGCAGAAACTGAGTCCCAGAGAGGTGAAGTGCCTTGTCTAGGCTGTATAGCCATAAAAGTTGCTGGAACGGGGCTAGACTCTCCTGGCTCCCACTCCAGAGCACTTTCTAGAATTTTTGAACCTTGGGCCTGTTAAGTTCTGAGACTGAGAGATGTTCATCCTTGTGAACTACAAAATACCTACTCTGTATTTGGATTGTATGGATTATTGGAGGGCAGGTACAGTCTATCGAGCACCTTGCACATGTCCTGGGCAGCCCCTGGGTTCGTTTTCCCTGTGGATGGAAATCGCCCTCTTGCGCGCGCCTGTGGGTGTTTATCCCCCCCTCCTCCGGGGCCTTCCGTGGCCAGGCAGGTCTGTTGCAGTGACCTCTCCTCACCTGTTGGGGCCAGCACCTGGGGAGGCGTCCGCATTCTTGGCATTCCTCTTGCAGCAGGGGCTGGAAGAGGCTCTGGTGCGGTGGGGGAGGCACGTGGGTGGGTGGGGGGAATGGAAGCCGAGAAGAAGGGCGGGGTTGGTCTCCCCCACCACGGCCTCCCCGGTTTGGGACTGAGAAGGCCTGTCCCGGCTTTCCTCCACCGAGGAGGCGCAGGCTGCTGAAGAAGCGGCCGCCAGGAACGTTCAGGTCCTTTATCTCAAACCCACTGCACATCCGTGAGGTCGAGGACTGACTGCAGTTTCCTTGCCTATGAAACGGGCGCGTTGACTGCACCCACCGCATCGGAGGGTTGGAGACCGAGGCGCTCAGCAGAGCGTCTGGCGTGCAGTAAACCTCGACGGTGGCTGCGGTTACTGATTGTAGATGAGGAAACCGAGGCATGGGAGGCCAAGGGACACCACAGCTGTAGTGCGTGGCTGGGCTGGTATGCGAATGCACGCAGGTCAGGCTGACTCCCAGACCCAGGTCACCCTGCACGGTCTGCCGGGCTTGGGGGATGTCGGCGCACACAGGCTCCGGCCCCTGGGGTGGAGCAGGGCGCTCCAGGTCGAAGCACACGGCTTGTCCTGGTTTGGAGGGCGTGCCCAGTGTGACCTTGGGTGGCAGCTGTTCTCAGAAATGAAGTCTGGTTGGGAGACCCGGGTGCCTGGGGTCAGACTGTGGGTCTGTGTTGACTGTCGCCATGGGCTTGCCAGGGGACCCTTGGGCGCTCTGGCCTCAGCTTAGGCTGGCTGGGACTGATGGTGGCCAAGGTGAGGGTCAGGCCAGCCCCAGAGTCCCTGTCACCGAGTGGGGAGGGGAGATCAGCGCAGGCTCTATGGACCGCTGCCCTGCCCCTCCCCGCCCCTCCCCCAGTCTCCTCTGGCATTTGTTTCCTTTCCAAAGCTGGACTGGGGCTCTCAGACAGGGCAACAAAAGCAACTCCTCTCCAAGCCACTGCCACCTGTTGGGTTTTCACACATTGGGGGCGAGTGGGGGGAGGGCCGTTGCCTTGTCCCAGTGTCTGTGGTGTGCCCCCGCTGCCCCCCTAGGGCCTGGGATTCTCTGTGCTGCCCAACGTGACAGTGCCCGGGAGCCGGAGGGGGTGGGGGCCGCAGCAGCTGGAGGGGGAGTCGAGTGGGAAGGGGCTGGGGCTGGCAGCCGGGAGGGAGTTTGATGGATTACTCTGCAGGCCGAGAGGTTTCCCCCTAATCCCCTTTGTGTCCCGGCCCGCGGCCCCTCACTCTCCCTGACAAGCTGCTAAGCAGAAGGCTTCCAGTCCCAGGGAAGAAAAGGCAGCTCAGCAGGGCGGACTCTAAATCCCCGGCCTCCGGGCCCTGGGGGAGGCAGGAGCTAGGGAGCCCGTCTGGGCGGGGCGGGGACCCCTTCCCACTGCTCTGACTCTTTCTTAGGAGTCCCTCCATGGCCCTGGTGACACTGCAGTGTCCTCAGGTGGCCGTGAGAGCCCTGCGGGGCGGCTCTCCTGGGTCTCAGCTACTTGCGCAGATCACCGTTGCGTTTTTCTAGGGTGGGGCCGGGACACGCAGAGACCCTCCCTGCTTTGGAAATAATCTGGGCCCAGAGAACCGCAGACCCAATGGGCTGGAAGGCACGGAAACCACGTGTAGTCTAATGCCCTGTCCCGCTCCCCAGCACCCAGGTGGGGACCCTCACATGTCCCTGACAGAGGGGTCTGCATTGCTCATCTTCAGGTCTCTCAGGTGCAGGCTCTTTCTGGGGGTGTCCCCAAGGCTCCTTGTGGAGCTGCCCCGAGAGCAGAGCTCATCTGGGGAGTGCAGTGTGCCAGGTGTCATTAGGTAAGGCCCTGGGGCAAGGGGCGGGGACGTGTACCAGGGATGCTGGGCTGGTGAACCCCCAGACCTGAGAGGTCCTCTCCCGGTCCCCCAACCTACAGGAGCCTGGAGAGCTCCGCCTGGAGCAGTGCGCTGTGACCCCCCTTCCCCCGCGGCTCTGCACAGTCCTGGCCTGAGACAGGCCAGCCTGGTGGGGTGTGTCTGGGGGAGGTGGGCCCGGGGCGACCCTACCCCCCTTTTTTCAGCTGAGTCATGGCTTCTCTGGCTGGCCTCCCGCAGGCATGTGGGTCTCCCCTTCCGTGGGGAGGGCTCGGCGGCCGTGGCGGGAAGAGGGGCTGCTTCCCGCTTGCCGGGCCGGGCGTGTGAGAAAGCAGAGGGCCTTTGTCAGCGTGCTGGGAGGACGCAGGGCCGCGAGTGCGGGGCTGGTGGGGGCTGCGGCCGTTTGATGTGCTGGGTGGGGTGTGGGGACGCTGGCCTGCATAAAGACGCCATAGAATTGCCGCCGACACTGGCCCGGGCGGGGCTGCCCCCAGCCCGCTCCCTCCGGCCGGCCCCTGTCTGTCGGCAGAGGGAGTCTGTTCCCCAGCCCCACCTCAGCCACGCGGGGTGGCAGGAGCCCCTTTGAAAGCCCTCAAAGGCCTCTTTATGCGTCCCCCTCTGACCCTCCTTCCCTGGGGGAGCCACCGGGGAGTGGGCTCGGCCGCCTTCCCTCCACCTCCTCCACTCTGCCTTTTGAGTTTTGGGCAAAGTTCAGGCCAAGTTTGTTTCTCGTGGCTCAGTTTCGTTTCCCGTCCTCCCTGCGCAGGGGGGCGTTCCAGGCCGGGAGGGGCGATCGGAGCCCCTCACCACCTCCGAGCCTTCAGGAGTTGCCGCTTCTGGGGTTGGGCTTGGAATTTCCGTGGTGTGTGGGGAGCCCGTGGAGGGAGGAGGACTCCAGTCTTCACCTTCTCTCTACGCCCACCCCCTGCTTTCCCCGGTTCCTTCGTTAGGTAAACATGTCCCAGGACCCTTGTCTTGCTGGGGCTGGTGCCAGAGGGTTGTGATGCAGCCCATGGCCTGCCCTGGGGGTGCCACGTGTGAATGGGGGGGTGCATGGGGCACCGAGTCTCCCAGTACCTGGAGCTGGGCCGAGAGGATCCGGGTGCACCGACCTTGCCCGGGGGCCTTGGCTGCTCTGGGTTTCGGGTTCGTTCCCCCAGGGATGAGGAAGGATGGCCTGGGGCGGAGCTCCGCGAAGGTTCCCAGAGGTCTTGGGTTTCCTCCAGCTCTCTTGCTGTCCTGCCGTCGTCGGCAACAGCAGCAGAGAGCAGGGGAGATGTTGGGAACTTGAGAGGGACTTGTCCCAGAAGGCGGCCTGTTCCTTTCCATTCTGAGAGGTCAGCCCCTCCGCTTCCTGCCCGCGCCTCACCAGGTGAGCACGCTCAGGCTGATCTCCTGTGTGTCAGACAGACCGTGCTCCAGGGCCAGCGGGGCAGGAGGATTTGGGTCGGGAGCATCTCCAAGACTGGAGGGTATAGGGGAGAATTAGACCCTGTCCCCTTGCCTGTATCTCTGTTCCAGGAAGACCAGGGGAGTTTCCCCAGACAGGGGGGCCCAACACTGATCTGTCACTTTCAGTCTTGGGTTAGAAGTGTGCCCTGGGGCCGCTGACAGCAGTGGTGGCCAGGAAAGCAGGACCGAATGACTTCCAGTTCTCTGGCCTCCCTGGGCCTGGGCTTCTCTGTTGGTGCGCCAGGGATACGGCCGTGGAGGGGTTGGTGGCCTGTGGCTTGAGTTAGTGCTTTGGGTCCTCTGTGGTCCCCTCACCTTAAGGACCCTGGAGTGGGGATGAAGTGTGGGGACTGGGGCACTAGGAAGGGTGCAAGGATGAGAAAAGGGGCCTTTTGGGGGTGTTCTTATGGGCTTGGGATTGCTCAGGCAATTCTGGGCTGGGAAGAGTAAAGTCTGGGGGTGGCAGTTGTGCCCTGAACCGCCAGGGCAGAGTAGAAATCAAACGAGGGAGGAGGGGGCTCTGCAATCTAAGAACAGACAATGCCCTGCTGGGCTTGGAACCTGCTCGATTCCTACCCAAATCCTTTCTATGAGTTCTTCACCTAGCCCAGCCCCTAGTTACCAGGTAAAGAACGTCTAGGGTGGAGGGAGGTACCCCAGGGAGGGGGAGGCAGCTAATGAGCTATGGGGGGAGGGCGATTCAATTGCTTTTTTCACTACCACTCCACCCCTTTTTTTGTGTTTTTCCCTTGTGGGCTAAGCAGGATCCTGTTCATTTCTGGGAGGACTGGATTCAGGGACAGGGAAGGCAGGTGGGGTGATTAATGGTTGCTAGAGAGTAGCAATTTATTTTAAACAACAGGGAGCAACCAGGGCTTGGAAAAAGGGGGCAGGTTATGGGTGAGGCCAGGTCTGACGGAGTCTGTTTGCTCAGGGAGGACCTGGTCCCTTAAACCCGGAGCAGGTGAGTGTCCAGGGCCCTCCCCGACCAAAGGTGGGGGGTGGAATGGGCTGGGAGCCTTTTGACCCAGAACCCCTCCCTCCGTGCCGGATGGCACCACCCCTTGGTCTGGGTGCAGCCCCCGGCTTTCCTGTGGGTGCTGTGGGCCACAACAGCTCAGCTAAGACGGGTCCCCCTGCCTCCCTTTTGGGACTGTGTGGGTCAGTATTTTGCACTGCCGCTCGGGCCACCCCCAGAGGAGGTCCCACGGCCCGTCTCCAAGCGCGGGCCTGTGCAGGACTGCGGGGAGGAGGCTGCCGCCTGCCCAGCCTTATCCGAGTCCCCGCCTTCCTGATCCACTAGCCGAGAAGCCCCAGAAGCCTTACGGATGGACGGCCCTTACCTGGGACTGGTGGCCATCTGAGTCTCGGACACAGCTCAGAGGGCACTGCAGCATTCTTGTCACATGCAGGGGCCCTTGGGTAGCTTATGTTATTCGAAAAGATAAAAATTGAAGCACTTTTTATTATGAGGTGCTGTGATTGGTGGGGGGATAAGTGGGGGCTTGGGGTGCTCTCGGGTTAGAGCCTGGTCCTCAGCCACTGTGGTCCTTGTACCGGAGTAGTAGCATCCCTTCAAAGCATTTATGGGATGGAATTAGGGAGGAGAAGGAAGGCACTCCAGGCAGTAGTGCTGGGAAGTTCTGTCCCCTGCCTCTGTCTTGGCTTGGATGACAGGTTAGGGGCCTCTTGCCTACTGACCTCACCACGCCTTGCCCTCTGGTAGCACCTCCTCTTGGTGACTGGCTTGATTTTTCCCTCTTTGGTAGTCACTTCTAAGCAAAGCCAACTGCAATGGGTAAATTGTCAAGAGGCAGGACCAGGGGCCACAGGTGGGGGTGCGGGGTGGGCACTCCCCCAGGGGGATCAGAGCTGGTGGTGGCTCTCTCCCTCTGCTCGGGAAGCTGGGCTGACGGGAAGGGGCGTGGGAACCTGTCTGCTGAGAACGGATGCATTTAGGGAGCAGAGAAAGGCTACCCAGGAAGGAAGTGGTGGGGCACCCTGCCAGCCTGGGGGTCACTGGCATCATCATGGCTTCTGCCAGGTGATGTGGTTCCACGCCCCTGTGAGTCTGGGACTTCTCTGCTGAGAACAGCTCCACTGTCCCGCGACAGTTGGACAGTCACCTGTGGACTTTTCTTTCCCGTGAACATTGAGCTTGGGGGGAAACTCAAAGGTTTTGGGGCCTAGGTCTGTCCAGGGGAGCTCTCTTTCAGTGGTTTCAATGACAGGTTAAAACCCAACCCAGCAAGTGGCAGCCTCTCCTCCCTTCCCCCTCACCCCTGTCCTTGGGGGTGGGGGTCACGGTACAGCATGGCTCCTAGCCAGGAGCAGCGAGAAATAGGAAGTGTTACTCTTAACAAAGGGGAATTGAGCAGCCCAGCTTTGGGAAGTGCAGAGAGAAAAGCAAACAAACCAGGCCTGGCAGAGGGGCTCCTGGCACACCTTGAGAGCCGGCCTGGGCAACCAGAACTTCCGCCGCCGGTTCGATTCTCTCCCGACCCCCATCCTAGCAGGCGAGGGCGATTGCAAATATTGCCAAGCACAGAATAACCAGCATCTGTTTGGCTTTGCAGCATGCTGAGGTTTACAAATCATATTTACCTTATTAATTATGTCAGCCGTAGGCTAATATTAACATGCATTTCCTGGCTGGGCAGCAGGGGGTGGCACCTAGGTGGCAGGGCCAGTCGCTGGCCAGTGAATGGACAGGATTCAGACGAATTAGGGCAAATCCTGGAGCCCCAGCTCCCAGGACTTAATACTCTGTGTGCTTGTGATTGTTCCCGCCCTTTTAGGATCTGAGCAATGAGATGTGTCCCCACCGAGGTGGCCCACGGCAACAGGTGTTTAGCATGGGCTGAGGAGCTGGGCCTGCACCAGAGGGCCGGCAGAGATGGGCGCCTGGCTGAAGCCTAGGCAGCCGGTGGCGGTGAGGAGGACAGGCCCGGGCTCCCGGAGCAGAGCCGAGGCGGAGCAGTTCTGGAGAGCGTGAAGAACGGCCCGAGCCCCACCACCCGCCTGGCCCATGATGATCCAGAGGCTGTGGGTGGGCCGCCTGCTGCGGCATCAGAAAGCCCAGCTCCTGCTGGTCAACCTGCTGACCTTTGGCCTGGAGGTGTGCCTGGCTGCAGGCATCACCTACGTGCCACCCCTGCTGCTAGAAGTGGGGGTGGAGGAGAAGTTCATGACCATGGTGCTGGGTGAGTCACGACATCCTCCTTCCTCCCTGTGCCAGATTTGTGCCACCTGGGATGTGGGGCAGGGGTGCCTCTGCCCAGGCAGCTGTCTGGGGGGAGAGCGGTCGCCTGCTGTCCATGCGCTGGGTGGGCAGGGGTGCCGGGCAGGAGGCTGACCCTGGGCTGAGGGGGTGCCCAGGAGAAGACAGTACAGGGACACAGCCTGGTTACCTCTGTGTCCCTGACCCTGCATGATGCCTGGCTCACAGGAGACACTGGAGAAGTTACTCCTACCCTTTGTCTACTCCTAGCCCTTTTATAATTAATGTCTGTTACCTGATTGAATCCTTACAACCACCCTTTGAGGTGTGATCCGATTTATAGAGAAGAAAACGGAGGCCTGTAAGAGGTTAGGTGAGCCTTAGCCAAGGCCACACAGCTGCTGACCAGTAGAGCTGGAACTCGATTAATGTCTCCCAGGCAGCCAGCGCTAGCTTTTACCCCTAGGTCAGGGGCCGGGCTCCCGACTCTGCAGATGAATTCCGCAAAAGCCACAGAAGGCAACTAGTTACCATTGTGTGACACCCCCACGCCCAGGAAGAGGAGGCCCCACAGGATCGCAGGCTCTGGAGTCAGACTGCCTGTTGAAACTCCGCCTCTTACCCTTTGTAGCTCGGTGCCTTTGCACAGGTATCACTCATCAGTTGCTCCATGCCTCAGTTTCCCCAATCTGAAAAGAGGGCTGTGTGTAATACGTGTGTCATGAGGAATAAATTGGACTCCCCGGGAAGACTTGGCACCGAGTCTCATGTGGAGTTCGCCCTCAGTGTGATGCCACTTCCATCCTTCTCAAGCAGCTTGGTTCCCCGTCCCCCTTAACCGTCCCATCGACTCGCCACTGACTCGTGCTCCTTGCCCTCTTGCAGGCATCGGCCCCGTGCTGGGCCTGGTCTCCGTCCCACTCCTGGGCTCAGCCAGTGACCACTGGCGTGGGCGCTACGGCCGCCGGAGGCCCTTCATCTGGGCGCTGTCCCTGGGCATCCTGCTGAGCCTCTTCCTCATCCCCAGGGCCGGCTGGCTGGCGGGGCTGCTGTGCCCGGACCCCCGGCCCCTGGAGCTGGCACTGCTGATCCTGGGGGTGGGGCTGCTGGACTTCTGCGGCCAGGTGTGCTTCACCCCACTGGAGGCCCTGCTCTCCGACCTCTTCCGGGACCCGGACCACTGCCGCCAAGCCTACTCCGTCTACGCCTTCATGATCAGCCTCGGGGGCTGCCTGGGCTACCTGCTGCCCGCCATCGACTGGGACGCCAGTGCCCTGGCCCCCTACCTGGGCACCCAGGAGGAGTGCCTCTTTGGCCTGCTCACACTCATCTTCCTCACCTGCGTGGCGGCCACACTGCTAGTGACCGAGGAGGCGGCGCTGGCCCCGGCCGAGCCGGCGGAAGGGCTGTCGGTCCCCTCCGCGCAGCTGCCCTGCCGCCCGTGCCGGGCCTTCTGGAACCCGGGCGCCCTGCTCCCCCGGCTGCACCGGCTCTGCTGCCGCATGCCGCGCACCCTCCGCCGGCTCTTCGTGGCCGAGCTGTGCAGCTGGATGGCGTTCATGACCTTCACGCTGTTTTACACGGATTTCGTGGGCGAGGGGCTGTACCGCGGTGTGCCCAGGGCCGAGCCAGGCACCGAGGCCCGGAGACACTATGACGAAGGTAAGGCGCCCGTGGAGGGAGGCTGTCGTGGGAGCCGCCCTCCTGTGTGCCTCCCCGGCTAGGGAGACGTGCACAGCCTGTGCCTGGGGCCCGGCTCCCCCATCAGGAAGGGAAAATGGACGCAGCCTGCCTACCCGGCTCTGCCTGCTGTTTCAGTTGCGCTTCTGGCTGCTCTGAGAGTTTAATCGGAGTCATTGCCCCCGTCTGGCAGAAGGAAAGGCTGGAGCTTATTCAGGGTCCAGAGGGAGTGGAGGAGTCAAGGCTGGGTTTCAGGTCTGGCTGGCTCCAGCTTCAGTGTGCCCTCTGCTCCCCGGATGACTTTCTAAATCTCTCCAGCGCCTGCCAGCTCAGGTATTCTAGAAGTGTGTTGAAGCCTGTGCAGAACTATCTTTCTGTTCCCTCTCGCCCTCCTGTCCCCAAAGCTGAGGCTCCCAGAAAACCCTTAGGACATCTTCCCCTGCCCTTAGCTAATGGCCGTGGCTATGTCTCCCGAGGGCTGGCGGAAGAGCCTAGATTCCTGTGCTGCAGGTGGAATGGGGAGGGTGCTGGGGAGCAGGTATGTCCCGCAGCAGGTGCCTGTGGCCCTCACTTCTGAGCTCCCCCCAGACCTTATGGAGCATCCCCCTACCCTGCCTGACGCCACCTTCCCCCTCCAGGCGTCCGGATGGGCAGCCTGGGGCTGTTCCTGCAGTGCGCCATCTCCCTGGTCTTCTCCCTGGCCATGGACCGGCTGGTGCAGCGGTTCGGCACCCGGGCAGTCTACCTGGCTAGTGTGGTGGCTTTCCCTGTGGCTGCCGGCGCCACGTGCCTGTCTCACAGCGTGGCCGTGGTGACGGTCTCGGCCGCCCTCACCGGGTTCACCTTCTCGGCCCTGCAGATCCTGCCCTACACGCTGGCCTCCCTCTACCACCGGGAGAAGCAGGTACTCGGCGGCTGGCGGGCGGAGCGGGAGGGAGTGGGGCGGGGGCCGGGGCAGGCTGGACAGTCCAGGACTTGCTGTCTGGCCACAGGCCTTGGAGGTTTTCTTTGATCAGAGAGGAAGCCCATCCTAGCCCCAGGACCAGAGATTTGGGCTGCAGAGGAAGAAGCGTGTAGATTAGATTCTTGGAATGACTTCCCGGGGTCAGGACCATGAAGCACTTGAATGGAGGATTGCAGGAAACTGCAGATCCTTCAGTAGGAATCTGGAAGAGCCAGCTCGCTGAAGCCCTCAGTCTGGGCTGGCTGCTCTGCAGAGAGGCGGGGGCGGGATCAGATGACCTGCGGGGCATCTAGCTTCAGATGGCCAGTGGGACGGTCTGGCCTTAGAGCTCCTCTCCTTTTCCAGGGAGAGAGGCAGCCTGACTCCTTGTGCCCTGCTTTGGTCTCAGAGAGTGGGAAGTCTCCTTCCTGCCCCTTCTCTTTCTGGTTTGTCTTCCTTTTCTGTCTAATTCTCTTTTCTTTTCCTGCCTCCCTCTTTTGCCTCTGTCCCTTTCCCTTGCCCCTACGGCAGATATCCAAGCCTGACACCTGGCACCTGGCACCTGACACGGCTCACCTGGGCACTGTAGGTTGGGGGGCCTCCTTCCCGCTCTGCCCACACCAGCCAGCCCCTCCAGGGGCTCCCTTCTGTGGGGAAGCCTCCTGACCCAGGCACTGGGGTCCCCCTAGTTCCCTTCCACTGGCTTCACTGCAGCCCTGGGTGCAGAGCTCTGCCCCAAGGGGCATGAAGCTGGGGTGTCCCAAGGGAGGAGGAGATGAGGGCCTGTCCTCATGGAGCTCCCAGGCTGCAGGGGGGACTGGCTCCTGCCCCTGTAGCACACGAGTGGGGTAGTAGGTAAATCGTGGCTGGCTACCTGCCCAGGTGTCTGCAGGGCTGGGAGGTGTGCAGGAGGAGGGCCGAACGCTTTGGCTGGGGGAGCTGGGTCCCGAGACCCCTGTTGGCTCACCGCTAACCTTCATTGGCCTCTGGTCTTCCGCTGCCCTGGGCTGGGGGAACGGAGGCCGGTGTCGGAGGCCAGGCTTGAGCACCCGCAGTTGTGCCAGGGAGCGTGTTCTGTGCTGAGAAGCGTGTCTGTTCTCCGGGACCTCTTCAGGCTCCAGCCTCAGTGGTCTTTCCCGGGGTGGCAGGCAGGGAGGGGAGCATCTGAGAGGCCCGTTCCTAGCCACAGCTGATGGCGATTTGGCCCCGCACGCCTGCTCTTTGCCCACTTGTGGAGCTGCAGGGTGAGCCGTGGGCCTTCTTGGTGTCCAGCTTGAGCTCTGCCGAGGCTCCCAGCTTGCAGTCGCAGCCGCCTCGGGGACGCTCCTGTGTGACACCCTCCTGGTTACGAGGGGCAGCGTCAGAGGAGACCTGGCGAAGTCCTCTTACATGGGAGGCTCTGGGCCGGGGAGGCAGGGCGGGAGTGGGGAGGGCCCACCAGACACCTCACTGAGCTGCGAGAAGGGCTTGGGCGTTAGCACAGCTGGGGTTGGGGGAGGTGGGAACTGGGCCATTCCTCCCACCCGCAGCCTGCCCATCCTCCCTGCCCCAAGGCTGGGGCCAGGGACCTCGCAGCAGGGCAGCAGCTCCAGTGGGGGCCTGGGGCCCCAGGCGGGAAGAGCGTCTCTCTGCAGGATGAAGAGGACTTCCAGATGGTGAAGGGGAGGGCAGGCAGGCAGGGAGAGGGCTGGGAGAGCCTGGGTGGGGATTGGGCCAGCAGGGGCCTCGCCTCTGGATCTTAGACATCTCTCTTCCCACCTGTCTCCATTCTTCTGTGTCTTTTCCTTTACCTTGGGGCTCTGTCCTTTTTCTACCCTGCAGTGCTGAGTTTGCCGCTTGCTTGTAAGAGACGCTAGAGGAGACCTAGACTTCTAGTTTCAGCTTTGTCCCCTCCTCTCCCATTGACTGGTTTCTTGCAGCCCCGGGGATGAAGGCGAGGGTCTGGTCTCACAGCCGGGGGACCCCTGTGCCTGGGTACACACCTGTCCTCCTCCCCCTTCTCCACCCCTGCCCTGCAGGTGTTCCTGCCTAAGTACCGAGGGGACTCTGGAGGTGGTGGCTGCGAGGACAGCCTGACAACCAGCTTCCTGCCGGGCCCCAAGACTGGAGCTCCCTTCCCCAACGGACACAAGGGCGCGGGCGGCGGCCTGCTCCCCTCCCCGCCTGCGCTCTGCGGGGCCTCGGCCTGCGACGTCTCCATGCGCGCGGTGGTGGGCGAGCCGACTGAGGCCAGGGTCGTCCCGGGCCGCGGCATCTGCCTGGACCTCGCCATCCTGGACAGCGCCTTCCTGCTGTCCCAGGTGGCCCCGTCCCTGTTCATGGGCTCCATCGTGCAGCTCAGCCAGTCCGTCACTGCCTACATGGTGTCCGCGGCGGGCCTGGGTCTGGTCGCCATTTACTTTGCTACGCGGGTAGTGTTTGACAAGAGCGACTTGGCCAAATACTCGGTGTAGACACGCGGAGGGGGAGGGCCTGCCTCCGCGGGTCCCCGCTCTCCATCCGGCTTCAGGTAGCCCAGGAGGGCTGGGGGCTCCCTCCCGTGTCTCTTGCTGCCACGGCGGTGCGGCTCTCTGCTGCCACCCTGTGGCGGCGAGGCGCGTAGCTGCACAGCTGGGGGACTGGGGGTTCCCTCTGGCCGGTGGCTGCTGCGGTGGGCGGACTGGCAGCTTTCTGAATGGGTTTCAGGCCGGACCTCCACGGGGAGGCCAGAAGGGCAGGGCATTCGATTAGCTCCGTGCACTGGAATGTGGGACTCTGCAAGTGGGTTACTTAGGTTCAGGGTCAACAGGTTGATGCCAGGATCTTGGTTGAAACATAATCCAGAGAAGAAATTTGGGGAGCTGAATAAACTCAGCCACCTCCAAGCCCCCTTATCTTGCAGGTTTCCCCAATGTAGCTCTTGCATGGGAGTTTCTAGTACGAAGCTCTCCTCCATGGGATCTGAAAGTATGAAAGTTATTTGGGGGGGGGGAGTCCTGAGGGGCACGGCAACTCGGGGCCCAGGCCCCCTTGGTCCACAGCACTGCCTATCTGCTGATCCCCTCCACCTTGTATCAGGACTTGGCTTGTTGGTCCCTGTGTCGCCCTCATAGGGACACAGGCATTTAAATGTTTAACTTATTTATTTAACAAAGTAGAAGGGAGCCATCGCTAGTTTTCTATGTTGGTGTCCAGGAGTTGGGTAGGGTGGGATCTCTCAACAACCAGGTCTTCTGAGATAGCTGGTCATGGGCCGAGCGTTGCCAGAGTCCCCTTCTCCTGGGGTCTGGCCCCCAGAAATGGCTCACCCAGGACCTTGGAAATTGTACTCATCCCACCTGATATCCCAAATGCTGTCACCCAAGGTCAGGGGTGTTGAGGGAAGGTGGGGGTAGGGGGGCTTCAGGTCTCACCAGCTTCCCTAGCCACCTCCCACTCCTCACTCCCCCTGCTCCCTCTAGGACCGGGCCGGTGGAGGCACTGCCCTTCGCCTGAGCCCCTTGCCTTTCCCCACTGGCTCCACAACCCTCTGTTGGGGGCTGTTGCAGGACCAGCAGGACCAGAAGCACAAAGTGTGGTTCCTCAAGCCTTCGTCCGTCTCAGCCCCCGGGGTGTATCTGTGCTTGGGGAGTCGCACACAGAAACTCAGGAGCACCCCCTGCCTGAGCTAAGGAGGTCTTATCTCTGGGGGGTTTAAGTGCCGTTTGCAATAATGTCGTCTTATTTATTTAGCGGAGTAAATATTTTATACTGTATGTGAGCAATCAGAGTATAATGTTTATGGTGATGAAATTAAAGGCTTCTTATATGTTTGATTGGCGTGTGTTGTGCTTTCTGAGGGTGGAGAACCAGAGCTCTCTAAAATCATTCTCAATTCCCCAGTTCATGGGGACCTTTGGCTTTTGGCAGCTTCAGTTCCCAGTGCCACCAGCAGAGGGAGCCATAGACCAGCAATCTTTGTGTCCACTGGGCGAGGCAGTCTGCACCCTGGATTGGGGTGCTCCTTTGGGAGTGGAGGAGGAGGCTCGAAAAGAGTCTGAAATGTGGGAGGGTGGGGACATTTTCCTTCTCAAAGGGCCCCCCGTGTGGCTTGAGGAGATGGAGCAAGCCCTCATCGACCACAGCAAGAGAACAGGGACTGCACCTGGCTTGTGCGTGGCGAGAATTTTGACACCACTGGGCCTTGGTTCATGCCCTTTACGCTGGTTCTCACACTCTCCCATTTCCTTAACTCTTCACGCCAGGCTTGCACTCAGATCGTGGTCACTGCCATGCATGAGGGATTCTTGAGAAATGGCTGAGTCCATGTCTGGGGCAGGAAACGTCCCAGATGAAGTTGAGCTACCTTGTCTTGCCTAAAAAACAAGGGATATTAAAGGCTATCGGAATCATGTCAAAAGAACTCATGGAACACCTTGAAGGTGATCCCGTCGGCCAAAGACGCCACAACTTGAGTCTCAACAAGAACACTGACTACATCGGATTGAAGCACGGATGTATACAATTCACAAGTTTGTAATGATACTAATAAAAACAACCTCATTGGTCACCTTTGGTGGCTGCTAGAGCACCATCTCATTATTCCAAAAGTTGGTAAGTCGTGGGAAAGGATTATCAAGTATTTATCATGCTTTTCCCATATAAGCCATATTTCAGTATGGCCAGATAGCAAATGAAGATTTTTTTTTTTCTTTATGGAAGAATACATACCAAAGGAGTGATAGATATTGCAAAATTATAATTTTCTAGTTCTACCAAAATAGGACCTAGACAACGATTACCAATGTCTTCCTTTCTGGCCTGGGGTGTCCCTGCCTGCAGAACCAGATACCATGAGGTGGAGAGTATCCCCTGGTAGCCTGGGTCTCGGGTTACTTCTCGTGCTGCTGGGGGAAAAAGCCCTTGGTTTCCAGGGTCAGATTTGATTACAGCAGCCTGGCAGTTTTGTCACCATGGGTGGAAGGGCTTGTTTAGAGCTGGGGCTTTCTGACATCCAACACTGTCACTAGATCTCCAGGCACACTAGGAAGCAGCTGGGTGTATACCCTGGCAACAGAAACACTTGGCCCCAGGCTGTCCCTTCCTAGCATTTGACCTTCAACAGTTTACTCCCCTGTGTGTGCAGTCGAGGGCGTTAACAGGTCATCTCTGCAGATGCAGCTGTAGAATTCCGTGACCCCACAGTTCCGTGTCCCCTTCCCCCAGTAGACTACTTAGCGTATTAAAGTCCCTAATTAATGTGCTCTCCCTTTCGCGAAATAACATCTGTCTCTTACCTTCCTGTATGCTGGGGCCGTGGGCAAAGGGAAGACACTCACTGGCGGCTCAGGTGGGGCTGTGAGGAGGCAGGCTGGGGAGACCCTGCCCACCGAGGGTCCTGGGTCCTGGGTCCTGCAGAGGATCTAGACCCAGAGGACACTGCACAGGCTGGCCCCCTCCCAGTGATCGTATTACAAGTGCTGGGTGAATCCCATGGAGGTGGCTGCAATAGACTTCGTCCACCCCCCCCCCATGATGTTGAAATTGACACCCAGTGTGATGGCATTCGGAGGTGGGGCCTTGGGGAGTTAATTAGGTCATGAGGGTGGAGCCCTTATCGATGGGATTAGTGCCCATTAGAGGCCTCAGGGAGCTCCCTTGCTCCTGAATCAGGAAGTGGGCTCCCATCAGACATCGAACCTGCCAGAGCCTTCATCTTGGACTTCCCGGCCTCCAGAACTGTAAGAAATAAATTTCCGATGCTTATAATCCACCCAGTCTATGGTATTTTGTTTTGGCAGCTGGAGCTAAGACAGCAGGACAGACACTTCTTTCTTTCAGTGACAAAACAGGTCTAAGAAGATGTGACTTGCCCAAAGGTACACTGGTTGAGGGCTATTTTTGTTTTACTATCACCAATTTTAAAAGGTGGAGGCGAGAGGTATACAGGGAGCTTCTGCATTATCTTTGCAGCTTTTATGCATATCTAATACCCTTCCAAAATAAAAAGATTAGGTTTTTTTTTTTTTAAAGTGGAGAATTTTTTGACCCATTTCATCACCTTCTGATACACACCAACCAACCAACCAACCAACCAACCAACCAACCAACCAACCAACCAACCAACCGTTATTGTTTACTGAATACCTGGTAGGTGAAAGGTACCAGGGTATGTACAACTTGGGGGGGCTGCGTATGAAGATGTGTAAAATGCAGTCCTTCCTCTCTGAGTTCTCAGTTCTCTCCACAGGAAAACGAGACATATTCAAGTGAAAAGTTATTTCCAATAGTACAAGGCAGTTTGACAAGTGCCAACCGTACATACACAGAAGCAGAAAGTTGGGGAGGGGGGCAGAAACAACCACTAAAGGATGTTTTTAAAATAGGGATAAAAAGGATTTCCTTCTATTTAAACAGGTTCAGAGTGTTTTTGACTTGATGAACTCTTTCAAAAGACATAAGCAATTCAACTGATTGATAAGTTGAAGAAAACACATTAAATAAATAAAATGATAGACTGAATGAAGCAGACTCAAAAGAGCAAAGGCCTCAGTAGAGCAAAAAGGCTGATCCTTCTTTTGAGTAAGAGAGAATTCTTCCTGCCCGACTGCCTTTAAACTGGGACGGTGACCTTTTGCTGCCTTTGGACTGGAACCCACCGTCAGCTCCCCTGGGTCTCGAGCTTGCCAACTCACGCTGCAGATCTTAGGATTGTCAGCCTTCATAATTGCAGGAGCCAGTTCTTTATAGTATATCTCTTTGCAAGAGATTTGTGCCGCAATTGGAGCATACACAGAGGGCCCTTAGTTTTATTTACCAACATCAAATAAATCATTTGGCCTGCGGATTCCAGAGCTGGGGATCAAACTACCCCCCTCAGTTTACAGATGAGGAAACTGAGGCCCAAGGTGGAAGGTTCTTCCCACTGCACAATCTGCCAATCTCACCTGTTGGCTGATGCCTTAATTGGAGACCAGCTACTCGGGAGGCTGAGGCAGGAGGATCGCCTGAGCCCCAGAGTTTGAGGTTGCTGTGAGCTAGGCTGACGCCACGGCACTCACTCTAGCCTGGGCAACAAAGTGAGACTCTGCCTCAAAAAAAATAAAATAAAATAAAATAAAATAAAATAAAATAAAATAAAATAAAATAAGACTTAAAATGCAAATATCCCTGGGAAAATAATGCACTGACGTGAATGCATATGACAATATAAACAACTGGATGAAATGTTTCGTAAAGAGCAGATTGTGCTGGAGGAAGGCAGGATAAAAAGATAAATGTAGTCCCTACCCTCTTGGGGATCCCTGATCAGGGAGTCTCAGAGATGTGCAGGAGCAAACTGCACGGTTAGCAGAGTTTGGTTCTTGGAAGTGAAGGAAAGAGGCATTTGGGAAATGGGAGACGGTGCGGTGGGGGGCAGGGCAGGCCCACAGGTTCCCTCCTCATGACTGTTGAGAGCTGGCCCAGACCACTGTGGTCTATGTCATCCTGGGAGGCTAAACCATATGCAGCAGGGGGGATGAATGGCTGGAGGTGGCCTAATCCTTAATTTCAGTGAGCTTGCAGAACATTTCTGAAAATCCACACTTGTAGCAGTAGCACTGCGTCTTTTTCACAGTGGCATTTTTATGCATGCCGCTCCTTCCTGGCTGCACGGGGAAGTGTTGTGAGCAGAGTGGGCGGCAGGGTGTTTAGAGCGGCCAGGCAGCCAGCAGCCTATTTTCAAACCCGATGTGTAACTCTTGTGCTTTTTGCTTAAAGTTTATGACCGAGTTTTCACTTGCGGTCGAGAGTTTGTAAGAGAAAAAACCATGTTCTGCCCAATCTGGCCATTACTGTCATTGTGTTTCCTACTGAGAGCAAGGGCAACAGGCGAGGTGGTAAAGGTACTTGAAACCCCGTCGCGGGAGGTGGGGGGATATGTCCAGCTTGGTGAAGAGACCCCTCCGGAGACTTGGGGGCAGTCTTCACTATTGAGAGTGCTGTGCCGCAGAGGGAGGGATGGAGCTGTTCTGTGTTCTCCAGAGATTAGAATGGGGCTGGGGAGAGGTCACAGGAATACAGATTTTGGCAGTCAAAGGGGAAATGACTCTGCTCAGAGGTACTGGAGCATGGGCTGGGCAAGTGCTTGGTGCAGGGTTGTGAAGAAGATTCCAGCATTAAGCGATGGTTGGTCCACGTTACTTTCAAGCACCTTCTAATCCTGAGGTCCTCTGATAGAGGCTGTGGACGATAGTTGGTTGCCATGAAGAGTAGGGTCTGAAGACACTGAAGTATGACCATTCATCCAAACAAACGTGTTGGTCTGTTGCGTATAAAGCACTCTATTTAGGCCGGGCATGGTGGCTCATGGCTGTAATTCCAGCACTTTGGGAGGCTGAGGTGAGAGGAGCACGTGAGCCCAGGAGTTTGAGGCTGTAGTGAGCTGTGATCCTGCCACTGAGCTCCAGAACAACAGAACAAGATCCTGTCTAATACATACATACATACATGCCATTGAATTATACACTTTAAAGTGGTTACGATAGTAAATTTTATTGTATTTTCTCATAATTTTTTTATTATTTTATTTTATCTTATTTTATTTTTTGAGACAGAGTCTCACTTTGTTGCCCAGGCTGGAGTGAGTGCCATGGCATCAGCCTAGCTCACAGCAACCTCAAACTCCTGGGCTCAAGCGATCCTCCTGCCTCAGCCTCCCGAGTAGCTGGGACTACAGGCATGTGCCACCGTGCCCAGCTAATTTTTTCTATATATATTAGTTGGCCAATTAATTTCTTTCTATTTTATAGTAGAGACGGGGTCTCACTCTTGCTCAGGCTGGTTTCGAACTCCTAAGCTGAAGCAATCCGCCCGCCTCGGCCTCCCAGAGTGCTAGGATTACAGGCGTGAGCCACCGCGCCTGGCCACCATAATTTTTTTAAAGTGTCTTTTTTCCTCTGAAGATTCCCAGCCTATTTCCTGTTAGTAACTATTAAGTTTCTTATTTACCATTCCAAACATTTCCCATATATCTGCATGTATATATTTGCATATACATATATAAATGTACCCATTAACATCACATTACACACACACCTTGCTTTCTTTTTTTCCCCCCATTATACACACACACACACACACACACACACACACACACACGTTATTTTAGACAAAGTCTCGCTCTGTCACCCTGGCCAGGGTACAGTGGTGTCATCATAGCTCACTGCAACTTTAAACTCCTGGGCTCAAGCAATTTTCCTGCCTCAGCCTCCCAAGTAGCTGGAACTACAAGTGCACACCACTATGCCCAGCTAATTTTTTCTATTTTTAGTAGAGACGGGGTCTTGCTCTTGCTCAGGCTGGTCTAGAACTCCTGAGCTCAAGTGATCCGCCC